ACCAGAACCACGGCATTGCATCTGCAATCAGATGGCATGGTTGAGATATTCAACAAGACAATAGAGGAACATCTCTCCGCTCTCCGAAGTAGTTGACAAGCATCAAGATGATTGGGATGAGCATATACCTCTATTTCTGATGGCATACAGGTCAGCCGTACATAACACCAGAGGAATAATTACACCAGCCAAAGTTTTGTTTGGAAGGGAGCTTCGTTTACCCTGTGACTTAATGTTCCCACCAATTCGATTCACTTACATTGGAAATTTAGATATGTTTGATAATTGTATTTGGGGGAATTCTTTATATTCTCTTGGTCTTGCAGTCTAATAAGTAGTCTTAGTCTTGGTCTTGGTCTTGCATTTTCTGCAAGACCAAGCCCAAGACTGCAAGACCAAGACCAGTCTCGCTCATCACTACCCCAAAGGTAAGATGGAGGTGGTACATCCAAACAGGTTGAAGGCTTATCAGAATTATAAATGTCCAGATCAGGGCGATCTGATTTAGCAGGCAGTTAGTGTTAGGAAAATGCATCGACGGCCCGGCCGGGATTCCAAGAAATTAGGCACTTGTTTACGTCGTACGTTTTTATTCTGGGAATTGCATTACAGGGTACCCCATAATGTTCGCTACCTATGGGGAAATTATTTGTTTTTCACGATGGATCTCTTATCAAATAATATTCTACAGTTTTTATTATTGAAATAGTCCAAGTACCTCAATATTTAATGTGTATTGGTAAAACGAACTCAAATTCTTCATTGAAATCATTCCTAGAGAATTAATATAAATATTCGATTAGCACATGGAACTCTTCTGTAGCAATACCCGAACAATATGGGGGACACTGTATATTCGATTCGATGTTTAGATCCGGAATGCAATTTCGACTATATTATAAATAGAGCGTAGTAGTAAGGTAAGTTATTACTGTTTGTGAAGTGAGTTTTAGTGAACACGAAATCCGTGACAAGACCTTCAGACGTGCTTATTGGTATTGGGATGCATAAATGGTTTTTAGGGAAATATTTTCCATGCAAATTTTTTTTATTGAAATTATAGAACAAAGTAATTTTCAGAATAACAGAATCATTCAAGAGAGCGATATAAAGAATTGAATGTATTCAAAATCATTGGGTACGTAAATTTAATAGACAAGTGGACCAATTAATCCGAATTTCAAGTGAAAATATGAACCAGTAAATTAACTTCGAGATTAGAAACCAAAATGTTTCAATCCCACAATAAATTATAGCTATTCACACAAAAAACAAATTATTTTACTCAAGTGAATTTTGCGTTTACTCAAATAAATATGTTCTTGAATATGGCGAAATACACATAAACTTGAGTCAAAGGAACAATATTTGGACGTTAAGCTCAAAATTTTTTGTTCCAAACACAAATCAAATTGAATTGACTTATTTATACAGGGTGTCAATTTGTAAACTTCCCACCCCTATTATCTCGGAGTAGAAAAATTTTCAAAAAAAGCCCTGAAACACGTCAAGTATAATTTGAAGGGGAATGAGTTTTTATGCAAAATTCACCTCCCCTCTTTCAACCCCCCAACCCCCAGAGCCATCCCCTAGAAAATCTTAAATAGGAAGAGGGGTCAAGTGATACATCATTTTGCAGGGTTTTCAATTCCATACATTTTGGTACCAAATTTCACTACCTAAGTTCAACTGTTTTGGATAGTGATGCCGCGAGACTCGAGACTGGTCTCGTCTCGTCTCGTCTCGTCTCGACTTTTCGAGACGAAACTGGCTTTTGGTCTCGTCTCGTGAAGTCTCGACGAGACGAGACCAGACTTGGCGAGAGTCTCGTGTAGTCTCGAGTCTCGAGATTACACTTAAAATTTTTCTTTCGTAGTGTTATTATTGGACTATTCTGGGCTATTTGAATATGAAATTAGTAAATTAAATATCACGGTTACTCTTTACTGTGATTTTTCCCTAATTGCTTCATCACTGTGGCAGTTTCGACTTCCGTTATGATATAAAAATAAAAATCATATATACAGAGTGTCCGAAAAATAGCGTAAAAGCTGTCCACGTAGTAGGGGACAATTTGAGAAACCCTAGAAAAATAATTAAATTGAAAAAATCCTTCTCCAGCATTATTCTTGGTAATACGCAGAGGTAGAAGTGAAAATTCACCTTCGAATTCTTCAGGTAATTACATGGGTATTTAATTTAATTCTCTGACATATCGTCAATGGGATATTTCCAGTGTTGCCAATTTTAATAAATATTGAAATGCAAATAACTTCCTTAAGAATGCCACTAAATTCTTTAAAGTATTTTTCTGGGGTTCCTTGTAGGGTCCTCCACCACGTAAAGAAGAGCTTTCACGCTATTTTTTGGACACCCTGAATAACTCGAGACCAGACGAGACCACTCGAGACGAGACGAGACTTTGGTACTCGAGACCGAGACTAAGTCACGGTCTCGTCTCGAGATGTCGAGACGAGACGAGACCAACCCTAAGTCTCGTCCAGTCTCGTCTCGCGGCCGCGGCACCACTAGTTTTGGAAATATTGACAGTTGAAAATTGACTTTTTTGCAACTTTGACAGGCTGTAAAACCTAAACGGTTAATTTTAGAGGAAAACCGTTCTTACATTATTATCTTAGATTTTTATAGACTATCATTTGACAGCAACTTCGAATTTAATCCATGATCAAAAATTCTGGCTAAAAATTTAATCTCCGGTTGATTTCAAAGTTGGTGTGAAATGACAGTTTATGAAAATCTAAGATAAGAATGTAAGATTGGTTTTCCTCTTAAATTAACCGTTTAGGTTTTATAGCCTGTCAAAGTTGCGAAAAAGTCAATTTCCAACTGTCAATATTTCCAAAACAGTTGAACTTAGGTTTTCAAATTTGGCACCAAAATGTATGGAATTAAAAACCCTGCAAAATGATGTATCACTTGACCCCTCTTCCCCGTTAAGATTTTCTAGGGGGTGGCTCTGGGGGTTGGGGGGTTGAAAGAGGGGAGGTGAATTTTGCATAAAAACTTATCCCCCTTCAAATTATAGTTGACGTGTTTCAGGGATTTTTTCGGAAATTTTTCTACTCCGAGATAATAGGGGTGGGAAGTTTTCAAATTGACACCGTGTATAGTTAAATGAATTTTGTCACGAGTTGTGACTTAAATTTATGAATGTTTAAATTCAGTTTGCATTTATTTGAACCAAATATATGATAAATTTCTTTGAATTTAGATTTCTCTTCAGACAGAAACATTTTTTTTTTTTTGCACAATAAACTATATATTTGGGTTCAACACATTGTTATTGGATTAAACATATGAAGTATTTGGATTTGAGTTAACCCTTGGACCCGGAGACGCCGTCGGGAGATCCGGGAAGAGCTTTCTTTCCTGCATGAGCGTTCAAGTTCCATGGACTCCTCTAGCAGGGAGATGTGTCGGGCTTGACGAGAAAGCGGGACTTGGTTAACGAGTTGGGTCTGGGTGGGGTGAAAGTTTAGGCTGGATCCGAGTTCGCGTCTTGACCTCCCGCAGAACCGCTTTGCTGCTGGAACCTGGAAAAAGATGAAGTAAAATAAATTTCTGTTTGAAAAAATCGCCGATTTGATAATAAATCAAAACCAGGGATTTTATTCAATTATTATCCCGCAAACTTTGTACTGTATTATCTATATCAAATTAGTAATGTGTAGGTAGGTACTAACCTTCAAACATAGCGCTCAAATGGAGTAAATTGTTTTCACTCAAGAAGTCTTCCATTTTTCTCACCCATTGCACAATTCACTCACGCGCCGCACGCCGTCTACTTTCTTCGGAAGGAAGTACACTACCTGTGTATAGTAGTAATAAAGGAAGAGAAGAGAGTTCGAGTCTCGAGAGTTATGGATGGAATGTGGAATTCGGTGCCGGTAGCATCAACCGTCGCATTGAAGTAGGGAGTGGGGGAAATTTATGGACGAAACCTTCGAAACCTGTTGTAACCCGAGCTCCTGTACTTCACCTAAACACAATTGCGTTTGGGAGAACAATGTCTTTGTTTAAATTAAATTGCATATTTTTATCTCAATTTCACAGGAATTTGGAGTAATTTAGTGGTATTCTATATTCTGTCAGTGAATATGTTACGTTACGACAAATTTAATTCAATTATCTGAAAATTTAGCTGAAACACCTAGAGAAAATGTATGTAAGCCAAATATGAAATTCTTCATTCAAATTCATATCTAGTCAAATACATATTTAGCAAGGTAAAATCAATTACATCGATTTTTTTGATTCAAGCTAAATATAATCAATGCAAACAGAATTCGATGATTTCAAATTGGTGTTTATTTCTTTTAATTAAATACGAGTCGAATACATGATGTAATTGTCGTCAGAATGCGATTTTTTTCTGTGTTGAAATAAGACAAAACAGTCTGTTGATTACGTGCTATCGGAATCGTAATCCGAGCATTATGTATGTATACCTATCAAGTTTATATTCCTAAAATTTGAAACTTCATTGACCTTAGGGTATAGACGGCCAATTTCAAATTAAAGTCGTTTATTTAATGTAAATACCAAAGTTAAGCGTCCATTTACTCAATGAATTTATATTGTTTATGTTTTAAACATATTAATTTAATAGGGGAGCGATTTTGAAATCCATATCAATTGAGCAATCCCGCTTCTTAAAGAAATGCATCAGTACTTCCAGTTCCCATCGCGGTTATTATAAAAGTAGGCCTGGGTAGCACTGTGGCGCCATTTACTCATAAAATTAGTTAGCCTATGTCGATGCAAGTCGCAAGTAGTACCTACTCATAACTTCAGTTCGTGTATTTTCCAAGAACTAAAAACTCACAAATATGCTTGCCGTCAGAAAATTCGCAATTTACATTCAAATATGAAACCCTTCAATTGGAATCAAATGATTATCCTATGGTAATTCAAATAATAATCCTTTAATATTCCTCCCAAATAACATTGGGGTACATGCTGGACTTTAACGCATTTACCTAATTTCCGTTTCACAGAGCATAAAGATGAAAAATTGAAGTTGGCATCCTTTATGGAAATTATTGCTTCGCTGTCCGATGTGGGCATCAAAACTTCCAGTATTTCGGTTTCGGTCAATCCGTATTCCGAACAAGTTATAAGTGATGCCAGCCTGGAAATGGCTTCCTTGCAATATATTTTCTCTAGCCGGTCAAGGACTTCTTCGACGAAACCTGGAAAAAAAAAAAAAAACGAATCAAAAATTAGGAACAATATTGTGTATATCTTTTCATTTATCAATAATACGCGGTACCCTGAAATTGTATGTATGTGCTTTTTTATAACGTAGGAATCTTACACCTTCTTTTTACATTTCAATAAATGAAAAGTTTGCATTAATTTAAAAACACGCCGCAACGCCCCTCCCAAAGTTCCTGAAATATATCGAAAGTTGGGAAAACTTGGATAAAAAATTTAAAGTTGGGAAAAATTGGTAGACAAAAATTTGCGAGGAATAATTAAAATTAACAAACATTAAGATCGTGTCACGTGTTGTAATGAATTGCAAAATCACCGTACAACAGGTTGACGAAATCCCAATGGTCGGGGCGATCTCGCCGATCTCTTGCGTTGCACATTGCACTGCACTAGCACCACTAGCCTGTGGCAGTGGCACGTGGCATTCGTGACAGTAGTGGCTCTAGCGCCACTAGCACTATTCACTATTCGAGAGTCAAGACCGACGACCGACGTAGTTATATCTTTAGCTTGTTGTTGCAAGCGCGTCGTGTTTGATAGAGATGGACAATATAGTATATTAGATAATCCAAACTTTTTATTACTTTCTGCGTTCTGCGCATTCGTCGCCCGCTATTCAGATTTCAGCAAAGCTCTGAATCCTGTGCTCTTATGTTGAAGAAATGTTTTTTTCGAACATTTTTTTTATACATGTTTTTTATACATTGTTTATTTCATTTGATTATATCATTTGTAGGTCTGGAACAAGGTTGTGTGAGAGAGGTAGGTTGCCTCTGGGCTGGAACTCTGTAACGAATAGAGATATTTTCTCTATCTCTATTGACGTCTCCTCTCTATTGATTTTGACAAGAAAGAAAAAGACAGCAAGTGCCATAGCGATAGGGATAACGATCCTTATCCGTCACAGAGTTCCAGCCCACTGATAATTTTCTTCCGTCATCTGGGGTGTTTCAACATAATGCAAATCTCCAAGGTACCTCAGATTAGATGCGTCATCAAGTTACCCATTATCAGGCAACCTATTAAGTTTAGTAATCTTGGGTCTGGAATATATACAGTCGTGAGCATAAAAAGTGGGACACAGGACTGACAGGTCTTGTCATTTTTCACTATTTTGGGTAAATCAGTCTTTTCTCTACAAAGGATTTTCTTGTCAAATATGACAATCTCTGTCATTTCCATAGGCATAGGTGATGAGAGTTCGTTTTACAATAGGAAAGAACGGGTGTCCCACTTTTTATGCTCACGACTGTACATGTCAAATTATAAGTAAAAAGCATTGCCTATTATTGTCAAGCGCCGATACCCTTGTAACGTCACTATAGATACGCGAGCTCTTCATCTTCACCCCGACTCATAAGCTAAGTCTCAAAGCTGTATAGAGGGTACCTATAGTTTTTGAAAAGTTTTACTTCTTAATACGTATACGATGCTACACATGATTTTTTTTAACTGAAACTTCTTATGCGGCGGTCTGATTTGGAGGAGAATGGAGAGTGATTTGAAACAAGCGTTACGTGTAACCCTTGTGACGTCTCTACAGATGCGCGTTTGTCTATTGTGTAGCCCTTCATCTTTATATCCCGACTCATATGCTAAGTCTAAAAGTTGTATGAGAGACAAGTTCATGAGGGAGGGAATAGTTTTTTCCTACGACCACATACGAAAATTACAAAATTCGCACTAGCTGGTTCTTTGGAAAGCGCTAAATATCACTCGCGTGCTGAAAGTACTTTCAATACTCATGCTAAAAGTACTTTCAGCACACGTGTGGAAAATACTATTGACATTATTTGTGATTGACATAACAATTTACTTTCAATACGTGGATTGAAAGTACTTCCAGCACGTGTGTTGAAAATGAAAAGAAATAAAATAAAAGAAAATTGATGTAAATTGGTTTCTGGTCGTAGGAAAATTGGTGTACATCACTCGTAAGAAAGCGTCTTTCCTACACGCGTGTGATTTTCGCACTCGGCTATCGCTTCGCTCGAAAAAACACTCGTGTGAAATTTGTCACTTTCTATACTCGTAATGTAATATACTATTAAGAAGTTCCACTTCTTAACACGTGTACGACGTATGATGCTACATATGATTTTTTTATGTTCCAATAAAGTTGGGAAAATTAAGAATGTCACCCCCCCCAAACCAGAGACCTTCGCTACGTCCCTGCGTAGGTTTGCAAAATGTTCTAAGGATTTCCACACTGGCCGACACGAGTCACCTTTTTTCTGAACTTTTTATATGTTCATGTAATAGTTTAATCGGTTGAACTCTACCAGAAGGTTTTATTTGATTTACCTATATTTCTGATTCAAGTTTTCTGCAGTTTTATTGACCGCCGTACGTGTTAATGGACATTGCGTGACCCAGCTAGCAGACAGTTAGGAAAAACAGGTCGTTTTGCCAGAATTTTTTTATCACTCTTCTTCTGCATTCGAAATATTGCCGACGTAATTTAGGATGGGACGACATGGTTTACGACCGGTGAAAAGGGCATCTTAGCTTTTCTTTGAAAAAAATGACACATACAAGATAAACAAACGGTGATTAATTTCATAATGCACAAGCGAGAGACGTTTCTTGTCTTGGCAATAGAATGTAAAAATAGAGAATTAGGAGTTCAATATAATGTTCACCTATAAAGTATATAGTACGAGAAATTAATATTCCAATATTTATTTTCAATTACGACATACTTATTGGATGTGAAAATTCTCAAAGTAGACGCATTTCAGAGTTTGTTTTCATTCCTTTAAATAGGTCTTGTCGGAAGTTTTTAGTCTCAAATGCACGGATTCGTTGGAAACTCCAATTTTCTGGTTTAATTAAAATTTCCGTGCTTCAGGGATATTATTCCTATATCGCTTTGGTTTTTAATCTCCGTTTCTTTGCAAGTTATTATCCATGCTAAATAAACCTTTTTTTATTGCAAATGGGCCCTGCATATTTCACACAGTTGGATGAAATTTGAACACGGCAGAGAGAAAAAATAAATTTAAAAAAATGTATAATTTTCACATTTTTTCAAAAAGCCTGTTCTGAAATTTAAAAAGATTAGGGTTACAAGCTTCAATTTCAAGCTTGTAATATTTGGATGTATAAAAGTATTTCTACTTTGTATGTATGGACGCACTTACATAATATTTTTATATGAACTTGCACATTTGAAGTAAGAATACAAGATTACTTTTACAAAATTATTGCTCTTTTGTCTACCGTCTGAAGTATTATGTTATCTCGAGAATTCGCTAGAAGAAATCTCCGGTAACGCTGATAAATAATTCGTCGGCTAGATTGTTCTGGAACCAAACTAACCCAAACTCCTCGAAACTTCCAGTCATGAACCATACTGGGATCGATCAATATAAAAAACATTCGAATTTGGAAAATATTTCTGTTATTTTATTACATTAATATCTACTTTCTTAGAGATTTTCGCCTCAAACAGCTTCTCCTTCTCGTGGTTGCAACTTGCAACCAAGTCGGTATATTCTTGCTTCTGCATGAGGCTAGCCTCTTCACGTTGTGGCGGATTAGGAAGGTGTAGCAACAACCATCCGTTCAAAATGTTGGCAACAGGACGAGAGAAGCGGCAACGCCGGCCAGGCTTCCCAGCTGGGAACGGCCGTTCCGTTCAGTTCCGTTCTATCACACTCCTGAGTCTCTGCTACACGAAAACCACTCGTTTCTGTGTTTTTCTCCGGCGTTCTCAGTTCCGTATTCGTTGGTTTGCAAGCTTCATTTCCTTTACAGTCAACAGAATTGATGCTATATAGCCGGTGGATTAATGCTGGGAGCTTCCATAAGCCGAAAGGGAACGAGGCATCAGTTCACCCCTGTTTCGCTGGTGATCATCCACAAACATCGAGAGGTATTGGTTGATCGTCCGATTGTGTCCCATGATCATTCTGTTAGACTGAGAATGAAGTAAAGTCGTTTTTTTTTCCCCTATTCCTAGTAACCTCCTGAATTGTTCCCATACTCGGATGGACTCAAAATTCCTTCAGTGGTCAATATGGATATGATAATTTCCAATATTGCGTCAACAACTATAATGGGTACTGAATAAGTGAATGAATCTACTTCTGGCCACTTTGGAAAATAGTTTATAGCATCCAAGCATCCGTACTCATTTCCCAATTCTTTTGTGGCAAAACCACCTGCGGTATCTACCCCAATTTTCTCGAACAGGGAACCAGACAAGTACTGCTTCATTCCTTCTCGAGGTCGCGTCTTCGTAGATAAGTAAGTCTACTTTCCCAAACTTAGGTAAATGCTATTCAAGAAAATGACACTAAGATCACATCAATACTAGTACAACAAACAAAACCTTTACTGTCCGCAAAGCTATATTAATATTATATTTGATCACTTCAGGATCCAATCCCCAACTCTTCTCCATTCTCGTCGCGGCCCGGTCAAACCTTCTCTTAATATATCCTCGATAATTCGCTACTAGAAATGTCTGGTTACCTACACCGAATAATAATTCACTGGCCAGTTTTTTCCTTCAAGGCTAAACTTGTCGAAACTTCCACTAGGTACATAGGGCTCGATCAATATGTACGGGTTTCAATGCTTTATCTGATATTTCATGACAATACCTTTGACCTTTCTGTTGGACATCCTATGTATCATATAAATATCCATACCACGAACCAATAATATTGCCCATTGTAGTTTTACAGACGATGCGTGACATGAAGAACGAAATTCTAGAAAAGCGCAAGAGAAGAAGTCGGATCGGCTGAAATCAGAAAATCAATTCAAATCACCGCATGATTTGTCCCCTAATTTTTGAGTGGTGCAAAAATTAGGATTTGCAATAAAAGTGAACCATGGTCAAATCTTGGAGTGAAACCCAAATATTTTGTAATATCGAGAAATTCGTATAGCTTCATCATCATAGTTGACATACAACAAAACGAACCTTTGCCTCGAACTGAAGAATAATACAATAATTCTCTTCTTTCGTTTTTGTGGAAATAAAAAAAAAATGCAAATGTCAATGTTCAAATCAAAGATTGCCTCTTCTATTCACACGTACGTAACGCTAACAAAATTATAGAAAAAGAAGATAGAGTTTTAAAAATATTATTAGTATTACAATCAGACTCACCATTATAGGATTCCGCTAACTGTAGTTCTAAATAACATTCCGGTTGTTTAAGTTTGTCTTTTTGCACAGGTGTCAGTCTCATCTCATCGATAGGTATTCCGGATGTGCAAACGATATGCACATTTCTTGGTAAACTAATAGGAAGCCAACTTAACGTTGACATATCCGAATCTAACGGATTTATAAGATGCAAATCATCTAAAAATATTCCCAGCACAAAATTAAGCTCTTCAAAAGTTCTGAGAAGTGATTGAAACCAATTATTAGTGTATAAAGGTTCAAAACTAGCGTCTTTTGGTAAAAACCCTTCGGGTAGTTTCAGAGCTATGCAGATTTGTTGACATATTATTCGAAGTACTTCAAGACTGTAAGATGATCTGGGTGTTGTAGATATACTTCTTGTCTAAAAACAACAATTTTCCAAATAAAATACAATAGTTAAATTTCAAAAATAAATCTTACAATCCTTAACGTTCGACAGGAAAACCAGTTCTCAAAGTTCCGATACACCGTTTGAATAAGGGATGTTTTTCCGGATCCCTGATTTCCATATATTAAAATAGGTGTGTGTCTCCTTTGGTTGCCGTCTTCGATCAATTGCTTTATCGTGTCATGAATTTTCGAATTAGAAAAATCCTTCCTTATGTCTTCGTAGCATAATGTAAGGTGAGTAATATTTTCTTGAAAATTTTCCTAAAATTATTATTTTTGTTTGTGAATCGATAGATATTGCCAAAGTGTAGAGTTCGTGATTGGATAAACCACAGACATCAAAATCCTAACAGACTTGCTAAGTGCTAGGAAGAGTTTTGAATAAGGAAATGGTTCAATTTCCCATATTAAATTAAGAAATTGATTTCAGTTTCTTATCATTATTCGGAGATTGCAAGATTTTTTTTTCCGTATTTTTATGTCAGTTTTCTGGCAAAATTTATAGGAAAAAAAGAACAACAAAAAAAAATACCGCATAAATCTCACTGACGAGGGCATACAACATAAAATACAGGGTGTTTGGCGGAGGGTTAGCCAAACTTGGTGGGCGTATAGAAAGATCCATTTCGAAGATATTTTATTGATACACTTGTGGCCTTAAGTACCCCTTTTTTTTATCATTGTTTTCGTATTTTTCTCAAGAATTTTCAAAAATGGACCTTTTAACTTCTGTAACTTTTTTTAAAAATATTTATGAAAATGTTTTTTTCGTGTGTTTTTGGTCTGTAGGGTATCCTTAATCTTGATGAAAGTTACAGAAGTTAAAAGGTCCATTTTTGAAAATTCTTGAGAATAATACAAAAGCAATGATATAAAAAAAACAGGGACCTTAAGGGCACTAGTGTATTAATGAAATATTTTCGAAATGGGTCTATCTATACACCCACTAAGTTTGGCTAACTCTCCGCCAAACACCCTGTATAATCATATAATAAGATGAGAGGTGAGAGATAATTACCCAAGTTTTCTAGGCTTTCGTGCAAATACATGAACTTTTTCATGCAGTTATAAATGGTATGTATTGTTTATTATTCGGTGTAGTTTTTCGTTTATTATTTCAAAAACGTCACAAAATAATCAATTTTAAGTTGTCGTTTACGCATATGTAAATTGCCATAGGTATACGAAAAATTGAAACCATCTATTGGATAAAAAAATGTCATGCGGCATAAGCAATATTATGAATACATTCCGTTGAGATTGGATGTGACGTTATTGAAGAGTGTTTTTGCAAGCTTTCATACCAAATATTATAGCAATATATTTTCACAAGAGCTTTAAAACACGCACGAAATTTTTTTCGTAATATAGGTTAAGAATTCGCAACATACCTCCACGATTTTCTTTCTAGATTTAAGTTCAGGCTCATCCTCTAAATTCTTAGTAATTAGTGCTTTTATTTTATGGAAAATACTGTTTTTAAAAGAACTAAGATATGATTGATGACTTGAATTATCACTATCCAGCTCTCCACCTTCCCAAGGAACGCTGAAATAAAAATAAAAAATGGTAATCTTTTGAAGAGCTTGAATTTCACTGTCAATACTTACTGAAAGCACAATCTGTTTTCTTCCGGAATAGTATTTCGCATATGTAAACGGAATACTTCAAGTTGAGATTCGCAGTGGGATCTTATAGCCTCGGAGAATTGTTTTTCAGCCTTAAAATACAGCAAGAGTTTGATTTTATTCTTTTATGGTAGGTAAATATTTTGTAAGTACCTACCTTATAAAAATTTGTGTATTCTTTGTTATTGTCAACTTCATATTCTCTTATAACGCCTATTACATGATGGGCTGTTCCAGGCGCAAGACCTTAAATAAATTTCATTGATATCAAATTATTATGTGAAGAATGTGACTTTTTTCAAATTTCAAAAAATAAGTAAGTACGTAATTTGATTTTTTTCTCAAATTCACTATCAAAATAAACGATGAGTCGTAATATCCTCAACTAGGAACAATTTGGGTATTATTTGCTTAATTTCAATATTCCATTGCTGTAATGATGCACAAAATCAACTATCTAGATTAAAAACATCATTTTAAAGTAGGGCGCGAATGAGGAGGAGGCGTATATTCTTATTAGTCAAATTTCGCAAGAAACCGAACTAAGCGATTGCGACGTACTTAGGGATTTTATATAATATTTTCACGTTCTTTTAATGTCAGCGTTACGATTTCGCAAATATGCATTTGTAAATTGCGCCCAAAAGGAATGAAAGGATATATCTACATTGTTGTTAGAAGTTTCTCTAACGACTTTTAAAATACATATTTTTTTAATAGATACTCTTACAAAAATGCATCGACAACCCGACCAGGATTCTAGGAAATTAGCTAATGACGTCTGAGCGTACGTCTTTTGTGGGAATTCTAATATATTCGATGACGTGTTCGATATATAAGACGACCATAAATAGCGCGTCAATTTGTTCAATAAAAGTTCTTTTTTGAAGTGAGTTCTAAAAGTTGAATATTCTAGGATTATTATTTTCGCAATTAAATTTAAATTTATACGAGTAATAAGATATGAGTTATACATGAAATAGGTATATTTCCGAGTCGAATTCAAATGTTTTTTTTTTACGTACGATATGATTTTCTGTATCGGAGAAAGCCTATCAAATTTTTCAAAGTAAACACTTTTTTTTAGAAATAGATTCTTCCAAAAGCCAGTAGAAAGAAGATGGACTTGGAGAAGTCAAAAAGAACAAAAATATGAAAAAATCGAAAAATTATCAACGAACACTAATAATGGATGTGCAAAAATGCATAAATTGAAAGACCAAGATGGAAATCTAACATGATGGTGGCCCAAAGACGAAATGTCAGATTTTAAATAGAGTCAGAAAAAAATAAAAACGATTTCGGCAAAATTCCGGTTTTTATAGATATCTTGGGAATTTCCGAAATATCAAAACATGACGCCACTGAGCTCAGTAATGCGCAACTTTTTCCAACTTCGACCAACTTTCTTCAAATTATTAATATACAGGGTTATTAATAACGTGAAGTTATCAACAACTTGGCCGTCATATCTTTATGAATCCAATTAAATAGACTCTAGATGAATGCATAATAATTTCATAATAATTGTGAACAGTTGTGCACCGAAACAGCCTAACGCCTGCGCAGTGTTTATCTTTTAAACAACTGTTCTAAGTTTTGAAATATCCTTCATTTTCATTCGCTATATTTTGCGCATGCACGCACAGTACATGTATCTACTGCGCACCCTCAAAGCTGTCCCAGTTGTTTACATTATGACCTCGTAAATTAGCAGCATTAGAAGCGTTCTTTGTTTATCCATTTATTTTTGAGATCGGTGGTTTTGTCACGAAAACAAATTGATTGGAATTTCTCTACTTAATGGTCTACCTAGATAATAATAAAAAAAGGTAAGCAAAACTTGGAAGAATTTTCCTTGTTCAGGTGATTTCAAAAATAAAAATATGGGAAATTCAAAATGAGTAGCTTAAAACATATAAAGAAAAAATTTTACATATAAAAATAAATTGGAAATAGATTAGTATTTTATTATGATAGATGTTATCACAGGAAGGCATTTTATTTATGTGCTCCCACATGATTATTAAAAAGTTATAATAGGTATACGAGGTGTTTATTAGAAACGCGGCAATATTTGAAGGGATGATTTGTCAAGTCATTTCACGAAAAAAAGTTCCTATAAACATAGGACGGAAAAGCTTTCTAAGGTCGCTATGGTTCCCATGGTCCTTATGAGAAACGCCAAAGGAGCGCCATTTGAAGCGACGAGAGTCGTAGCGGCCTTAGGAAGCATTTCCGGACCTATATTTATAGGAACTCTTTTCCGTAAAATGACCTCAGAAATTGGATCGAAAGATGACACGACGTAGTCGATAGTGCTAGATCTGGTTTAGTAATTCGGCTTGGAGATTGAACATGCATGATTATACCAAAATATTCAAGTACCTACTGAAGAGATTTTCGAGAAGCACACACACTGGAAAAATCTATGGTAAAGTCGTCCTATAAAATTAATTTACTATTCAGAGGGAGGGACTCAAGCAAGCTTAGTAAGTTTTGAAAAGGTATTGCTTTAGTTTAAAAAAATAAGTACGTGCGCTTGTCCCAATTAATGTGTTTTGTTAACCAAATTCTGTAATTCTGACAATAACAGGAAATGTGGCACCGCCTAATGAGAAACTAATCAATGAAATGTAAAACGTTTTCAATTATACAATATTTGCAAATAAAACTAAACTGCTGGACAATTGCTTTCGAGCAATGACATTTTTTCAACTAACTTTCAAGCTCAATATTTTTAGAACCAGCCCAAATATCGACCTCCGGTTTCACGGGCCAGAGGTCGATATTTTGGTTCCAAAAATATCGAGCTTGAAAGTTAGGCGAAATTTTCCGTTTGCTCGAAAGCAATTGTCCAGCATTTTAATTCAAATTGTTATAAATTATATATCACCTGATACTTAGGTAGAAGATAAAGTTTGCTATCATTCTAGTAGATTTTTGTAATAAATTCCTATTTTTGAGAATATATAAGAATAGTTTGTCAAATTGAACTATATACTTTGCAGAGCTATTTTCCTCCTTCTTTAGTAGAAAATATTTTTTAATTTTAGAATTTATATAACTACCTACATAAAGGTACCTTTTATATTATATTTTTTCACTTTGCTTCCTAGAATCAGAAAACGACAATGTTTTTTTTTAATAATTACGATATAGGATAAAGCGGAACATCGACTGCTAATAAATAGCATTGTATTTTTAAATAGATTTTTGTTCGAAGAAAGAAGTTCATAACACAACTGAATATTTGAAATTCGATAAATCGCAAGTAATGTTCAAATACATATAATCACGTCATTGACTAGCAATTTTTCAAAACGCTGGTTAATTTCGTGATATTCGTAAAATGAGAACAGACTACTGACAACCGTGGTTGAAATAAAAATGTTTATGGCTTTGTGAAAACTGCGAAGTAAAATATTGATCAGCTCCGAGTTTTGCTGCGTTAATCCGAACAATAAGGCTGTCTACATGGTCTTTTGCCAGGCTGTCATCAAGTTCGCTAATTAGGGAAAAAGTTTGATGTAGAAATGTGCCAACCTTAATTTCGGAGAGTCTTTTTGTCCTACCAAGGATATCAATCAAAGTGGTAGTTTTTAGACTGCTTTTTGTGTTTATTCGGGTCTTAAATTTAAGGTTTAATTACGGTAAACATCGACTCCGTTTTTCTGGTCTGGAAATTCCTTTCGACTTATTCATGTAATTTCATATTAACATTTTATTCCATGATAAACGGTACGCATAATTTGAAGTGCTGTATGTACAGTGTTTCCCGCTTAAGGACTGACCAGCCTTCTAATATTTTTTATTTTTCAACCGATTCAATTCCTGTTTTTTTTGTCTTACATCTACACGAATTTGGCACCTATTAGGCTCATAATTATTTATTTCTTCGGCTGTACTGGTGTACCGGGTGTCCACATTTATAGGCTCAAATTTCAATAAGTACTATCAGGATCAGATTTTTTCTAAAAAAATCCCTAATAGTACTTATTGAAATTTGAGCCTATAAATGTGGACACCCTGTACACCAGTACAGCCGCAGAAATAAAATTATGACTCCTATAAGTGCCAGATTCGAGTAGCTATAAGACAAAAAAAATTAATTGAATCGGTTGAAAAATAAAAATTTTAGAAGGGTGGTCAGTCCTTAAGCGGGACACGCTGTATATATGGCGAGCATTATTTAAATATACGTCAAATATTTTCTATTTCTCTTCTGCTTAGTACCACTTTCCTGGTGAATGATGTAAATTAACCTGAATTCACCCTCGGCAAATGAAAAAAAATATTTAAATATATTATACAGTGTCCCCCATAATGTTCGCTACATAATGAAATTTTTTATTTGTAAGATATGGAATTTTTTTTATGTGCGATCTATCCTGCATGTCCGATGACCTAAAAGTACGTTTTGACATTGGTCACGTGATCACTATTGTAGCGGCAAATTCGAAAATTTAGATATGGAAACGCGAAAAGTGGGGTTAGATAGCAAAATTTTGGAAAAAGCTATTTGAAAAAAGTGATTAGAGCAATGTTTTAGGGCCGTCTACGAAATTTGGAGGTAAAACAACAAAAACGGGAAATTACGTGTTTTTCGCCATGGATCTCTTAACAACCCTATATTAAACAGTTTTTATTATTGAAATAGTACAATTACCTGAATATTTAATGTGTATTGGTAAAACAAACTTAAATTCTCCATTGGAATCATTCCTAGAGAATTAAATAAAAATTATTGATTAGCACATGAAACTTTTCTGTAGCAATACCCTGTATCTGGACAGTTGAGTAAGGTGTTTCAGAACTTTATTGGGATATTGAATAAAAAATCTCAAGAACGAATCTTTTCAATTGTTGAATCAACTTTAAGTTATTGGAAATCTCAGAAACTGTCAAGATACAGGGTATTGCTACAGAAAAGTTTCATGTGCTTGTCGAATATTTTTATTTATTGCTCTAGGAATCATTCCAATAAAGAATTCAAGTTTGTTCTACCAATACACATTAAATATTGAGGTACTTGGACTATTTCAATAATAAAAATTGTGTAATAAAGGAGGAGGCACTTCTCTTATGGAAAATGGATCTCCGACAGATTTTTCTGAAATGTGAATATGTTGTAGTTTTTTAAACTCTGATTAAAAGTCATCATTGGCCAAACCTCGTGCGGTTGATAGTTTAGCCTCCAGAGGGCGCCAATGTTTCATATAACCCATATAACTAATATAACTTGG